ACTGTTGGGTTTTCTGGGATCTCATGAGCGAATCTAATTCCTAAGAGATCGATTCTAGGGTTTGCGCAGCGGATATAAAACAAAAATTTTAATGAAACCCTAGAACCATGCTACTATTGAATCATAGAAATGTTAGAACGCTTACCTCAATCGATCCGGGGCCTGTATCAATTGATCTGTTCGTCCGATCACTCTAGGCAGGAAGAATACCTCGCCCTCTACACGTATCCACACGTCGGGATGGATTCCAACACCTTGAAACTTGTCTGCTAGGACTAGAGATCTCGATCTCTCTTGTGTGCAAGGTTTTGGAGGCATAGGGTTTTATTTTTCTTCTTTTTTTTTTCTTCTTCTTTTTTTTCCTTCTTTTTTCTTTTTTCTTTTTGTTTAAAACCCTAGAAGACATTCTCCTTATATAGACTTTCCAAAATCCTAATTTGACAAGGAATAGATTACTAGGAATCCTAATCTAATTAGGTTTCCTAAACCTATTAGAATTCTAATCTCATTAGGTTTCCTAGATGTAATAGAATTCTAATCTCATTAGGATTCCTATTCCAATTAGGAATCTCAATCCAATTAGGATTCGTAATCAGGATAATTTAGCACACGTACTTGTCCATCCCTATTGTGTATGACCCTGTAGGCTCATCCGGAATAGCAGTAAAACACAGAATCTCCATTCCGGTAATACAAGTCATAGGCGGTCTCTAGCAAGACACTATGACTACCTATCTCGAATAGAGTTTGTTTGTGATCATACGAAAGCCAGTGATGATTCCGACTGATGATCCTTTTGTATCGCGATATCATATGTCGAACATAAGGCATGGACAAGCCACCTTATCTGATTCGACTGCTTTCTCGTTCACTGAGTTCGACTGTCTGAAATAGACGACGTTCGTCTATAGTGCGGCCACACATTTCTACAGTCTTGCTCACACGAGGGGCCCAGCGATATCTCTCTCTTTTACGAGAGGTACAAATCCCGTCTTGACTATCTACAATCCAGTACATGATTCGTTTCGTACCTGATACACGCCTTTATAGTCCTCCTGTTACGCAGGACGTTTGACGTAATCAAAGCACGCAACTCCTCATGTTGGATTCTGTAGATATCTCAGGTCTTAGGATCCAATCATAGAATCGTCGTATGAGATTCAAGTCATGACGCTAGTCCATGTGACAATCTCATGCGGGTCAGTCCAGTATTCCGTTCTGCAACGAATACCTATGATTGTGATCGTATCCAATACCTATGATCATCTATGTGATCATCAATCACACATCATACTAGTCTTATTATGTCGTTATTCCCATAACGACACAAGACTAGGGAGTTTAGTATCATTCATAATGATACATGGATTTCATAACAGATCTAGCATGCAAGAACATGTAATGAATAAAATACTCTCATAAAACACATAGAAAGTATCAATACATCGAATGTATCTGAACAAAGCTCATAAACAGTACATCATAGAGCACCAAACCAACATCAAATAGCATTTGCTTTCAATTTTCGGTGCGAACTGAATATCTGAGAAATCATATATAAACGGAACCTGGAAAGAAGAAATCAACACTCAATCAGTCAGTGTGACCATTGTGACCACTGTGACCAG